ACGGCTGCACACTCAACCTCACTAAGCCTGTCAGGAGCATGGGTGTCTTTTTTGACCCTGAACTGTCCTTTCTCCCCCACATCCGCACCATCACTGGCACTGCCTACCACCACCTCCGCAACATTGCCAGATTCCGCCACTGCCTCACCCCTCAGGCTGCCGAAACCCTTACCCACGCATTCGTCACATCAAGGCTCGATTATGGAAACTCCCTCCTCATGAGCCTTCCCAACTCTTCCCTTCACAAGCTGCAGATCATCCAAAACTTTGCAGCTTGTGTACTCTCGCGCACCAGGCTCTGCGACCCCATCATTCCTACTCTCATCCGACTCCACTGGCTCCCCATGCCCCAGAGGATCGAGTTCAAGATCCTTGTCCTCACCTTTAAGGCCATCCATGGCCTTGCCCCCTCCTACCTCTCTGTCCTGCTGACTGCCTACCAACCTACCCACTCCCTCCGTTCAGCGGGCTCCGGTCTGCTCCATATCTCCCGCCCAACCCACCCTACCATTGGTGGCCGGGCTTTCAGCTTCTCTGCCCCACACTCTGGAACTCCATCCTACGGTCCCTTTGCCTCGCTTCCTCCCTTGCCTCCTTCAAGGCCGGTCTCAAGATCCTTCTCATCGACCATGCCTTTGGTTTCCCTCCCACCTCTCTGCCTTCCCTCACTCCTACACCACCCCTCCCCCATGTTCGGGCCCCGACACCTGACTGTTCAGCGCTTTGGGACGTCCTCCCGATGTGAAAGGCGCTCTATAAATGTAATTTTGTAGTTGTTGTAATAATAATCCTTGCATTTGATATAGCGCTTTATCACGTCTTTGAGATGTCTCAAAGCGCTTCACAGAATATACTTTAAAGTGAATTGACTGTATATTTTGTGGGCGAAAAGCGGCAGCCAATTGCGCACAGCAATGTCCCACAAACAGTTGAGAATTTAGTGAACAATTTATTATTATTATCTTTTCTTGGAAGGAATTATTCTACCCGGAAAAGCGATCCACCAATCGACTAACAACTGGCTTTCTAATTACTGCTAGGTAAACAGAGGCGTTGGAGTAAGGAAACTTGCCGGCCAGGAATCAAACCCAGGTTTCTCACTTGCGTGGCGAGTGCTCTCGACGAGAAAGGCGCTATACAAATGTCATTTTGTTGTTGTTGTTGAAGGCAAGGATAGGAGGCCAGAGCCAGCCGAGCGGAGGCAGCTGGCGATGGAGTGGGGGTTAAGCAGGTCAGATAGGTAGGGAGATGCAAGGGAATGAAGTGATTTGTAAAGAAGTGAAAGGATCTTGAAATCAAGAGACAATAAGACAACTTCCCTCTATATCTGTTGGGAAACTCCTGTCTTCTCCACTAACAGCACGGTGGAGATCTGAAGCTTTCTCCATAGGGCATCACAGCCCCAGATATCAATATCTGACTGCTCAGCTGGTGCAGGGTATTGGGAGATTTAAACACCATTTTGTAGCCCTACAATAAACACCTTGTTTGAAAAAGATAATTACAATCGATGACTCTTATTGCAGCGTCAGAGCAGAGTATGGCGTCAGCAATGGTACTTGTGTGTTTAGAAGACCGAGGGAGGTGTGCGCACAATGAACTAGCATCATTTGTTGTGTGGATTGCTCGATTTGTAAATCTGTTCGGTGGTCAATGTCAGAACACCATGTTTAAGAGATCTGATTGTCTAAGATGTTACGGTAAAATAGTTTATTATTACATTCGGGAGAATTGACACAGCTGTCAGAAGTGCTTGTGAATTTTGAATTGAGAAAATAAAATCAAGTGCTGACCATCTTGCATAACACTGGGACATGTGAAATGGAGTCTAACCACTGTTATTCCAGTGCATGCGTATTATCTTTATACCAAGAGCAACAACAACATGCCATATACCTACAATATAAAGCTGGGCGACTGCAGTCACATCTGAGACAGGTAATCACACATTACATATAATCCGGCATTTTAGAGGTGGAAAATGAGTTCTGACCCTACTTTCCAGGTAAATAAAAACCTTTTTAGTGGCAATTTGAAGTAAAAAGAAAATTACTTATGTAACAACTGTAATTAACTTCTGTTTGCTCAAGCTATTCTGCTCAGCAGGATGGCAGAAATGTACCAAATCACATCAGGTAATGTGTTTAAAATGGGAAGGTTTTTAGCAGCTCAGATGTAGAGAAACGTCAGTTGTAGGGAAAATACTGGAATCCATCATCAGGGACAGAGTGACTGAACACTTGGACAGGTATGAGCTAGTCAAAGAGAGTCAGCAAGGGTAGGTCGTATCTGACTAATCTAGTTGAATTTTTTGAGGAGGTCACTAAAATGGTGGATAGGAGTGTCTATGGATGTCGTTTATATGGACTTTCAGAAGGCATTTGATAAGGTTCCACACAAAAGGTTATTAGCGAAAATGGAAGCGCATGGAGTCGGAGGTAACCTTGTGACGTGGCTTGGGAATTGCTTGGGAGGCAGGAAGCAGAAGGTAGGGACAAACGGAAAGTTCTCTGATTGGTGGGACGTGACAAGTGGTGTCCCCCAGGGGTCTGTACCCCAGCTATTCGCTACATATAATATATATATATAAATGACTTGGATGAAGGAATAAAAGTTTTATATCCAAGTTTGCAGACGACACTAAGCTAGGAGGCTCAGTAAATTGTGTAGATGGGAGTAGGAAGTTACAAAGGGTATTAGACAGATTAAATGAGGGGGCAAAGCTGTGGCAGATGGAGCTCAATGTAGGGTAGTGTGAGGTCATCCACTATTGTCCGAAAAAAGATGAAGCAGAATATTTTTTTAATGGGGAGAAATGAAGAACTGTGGAGGAGCAAAGAGATTTGGGTGTCCATATCCACAAATCACTAAAAACTAGTTCTGAGGTGCAAAAAGTAATCAAAAAGGCGAATGGAATGTTGGCTTTTATCTCAAAGGGCCTGAAATACAAAGGGGACGAAATGATGCTTCAGCTGTACAGAGCGTCAGTCAGACCTCATCTGGAGACTGCGTTCAGTTTTGGGCACCACACCTCAGGAAAGATATGTTGGCCCTGGAGGGGGTGCAGCGCAGGTTCACCAGAATGTTACCAGGCCTAAAAGGGTTACGTTATGAGGAAAGGCTGCGTAAACTTGGATTGTATTCCCTTGAGTTTAGAAGGTTGAGGGGTGATTTGATTGAGGTGTTTAAGATGATAAAGGGATTTGATAGGGTAGATACAGAGAAGCTATTTCCTCCGTTGGGGAATCCAAAACAAGGAGGTATAGTCTTAAAATTAGAACCAGGCCATTTAAGATTGAAACCAGGAAGCATTTTTTCACTCAAAGGGTGGGAGAAATCTGGAATTCTCTCCCCCAAAAGGCCGTGGATGCTGGAATCATCCACACCTTCAAGAGTGAGGTTGATAGATTTTTGGTAGGTCAGGGTATTAAGGGATATGGGAAGAAAGCGAGAAATTGGAATTGAAAAGATTAGTTGAGGTACAGATCAGCCATAATCCAATTAAATGGCGGAACAGGCTCGAAGGGCTGATTGGCCTCCTTCTGTTCCTATGTTCCTAGATATTCAAGTGGGAAGTGCTACTCGATGTGCCACAGTAATAGCACTTTATTTCAGCACAAGAAATCACATTGCAAACAAAACCTGACAGACCTGCCAGTATCCCAATATCAGTCAGTCTTAGATCTTGTAAAAGTAAACTACTCCTTATATTTGCTTCTATCAACTTGCATTAGCCCATTCCTGAGACTGTGCACATGATAAAGATCCCAAAAATGTTAACAAAATCAATAATAATACAGCATTTCCACCAGTCATTGAATCAAGAACCATAAGGCTTACCATTTAAGATGGAGTCCTGTAGCTCAGTGGTTAAAGAACTCGCTTTGCAAGTGAGAGACCTGAGTTCAATTCCAGGCAGGGCGAAATCTTGGGCAAGTTTCCTTATTCCACACGCCTAATAATAATCCCTCCAAAAGAACAAAACAATAATAAAAATTGGTCATTTTCAATACACGACTGTTTGTGAGACATTGCTGTGCGCAATTGGCTGCCGCGTTCGCCCACAAATATACAGTCAATTCACTTTACAGTATATTCTGTGAAGCGCATTGGGACGTTTAGAAGACGTGAAAAGCGCTATATCAAATGCAAGGATTATTATTATAATCACAAAAGGAAATACAGGGGAAATTAGAAAAAAATCTTTAACTGGTTGGAATGTGGAATCCTCTGTCACAAACTCTTGTTGCAACAAAGTTTACAGACTATTTAATAAGTCAATTAAATAGATACTTGAAAAAGAGGAATATTAAAGGGAGAGAACAGGAGAGGGGAATTAAACTACAAATACCCAGAAGCTAATTCTTGAGAATGTATGTACATTACTGTACTGTTTGCATGACTATACTGCAACCTTGCCAGACTATACCTACAGTAATGCATTAAGTTGTGGTCGATACAAACCCTAGAGACAGTAGAGCATCGAGGAAGATCCCCAATGTTAGAGGACTAAGGGAAAGGATTAGACAGGCTGGGTCTGCTCAGTCTTGAAAGAATATATCTCAGAGGGGACCTTATCGAGGTATAAAGAATTTAAATGGGATTGAGAAAGTAAATCCAGAACAATACTTTCATATGGCTTGATATAGCAGAAGAGAGCACAAGTTTAGAGTTGCAAAGAGCAATTTCAAGACAGAAACGAGGAAATATTTATTTTACTTGAGGATATTTAACAACTGGAACAGGTTACCAAAGAGGTGGATGACACCAGGATGCTGAACTCGTTTAAAAAGCAGCTGGATTTGGTAATGGGACGACAGTAGAGTGGATATTCTGGAAGGTTGAGATCAAATGGGCAGAAAGGCCTTGTTCATCTAAACCTCTTGCGTGATCTGCATGCAGAGAAATATCAGCACATACCTGTTGTGGCAAATTACCTTTTCCTATGTTGTAAAATTTCTATGCTTCTACGTTAAGAACTGTGAGAAACAAACATGTTAGCAAGTCAACACACTCATATTTTATTAAACCTTCTATGCTTAACATTTCAAATAAGAAGATGCGAGGTTACACTTTGAATAAAAAATCTCCACATTTGCTAAAACGATAGTTAGCTGCATGATGTTGTCACAGAGATAATCATTTCACTTGGCCACAAAAATAAAAAGGCAGCCTTCAAAAGTCCAACTACTTTGACCATATTGAAGTGTCCTCAGTACTGTCCAAGATATGGAAACCACATTCTCCAGAACCCATTCCAGACAAGAGGTCTACCTGAGTATCTTCACAGTAATAGCCACCAACACTGCCAACAAAGCTAGTATGATTGGCACCATCTTTTCTTTTAGGCCTTCCGAGTTCCATGTTGACAAACTTGAACTAGAAAACTGCCCACTATGGGAGTGATGTGTATCAAGGGCTGTGCCGTTCTCATGAAAGGTCTTCAATTCCTAGAGAGAGAGAGATTTTGTTATTTCGCCGTACAATGCTGCTAATGGACAGTCAATCATCACTATGCATTCTCGAGGAACACAGAGGTTCCAATCCACAACAAAATGGTCTTCCAAAATAATCCCATTCTCCTGTTCGCTCCCATAACCTTTAATATTCCTCTTTTTGAAGCATCTGTCTGATTGCCTTTGAATTTGTTTTCACGGTTGTGGCACAGAATCCCACATTCCAACCAACTTCTGTGTAAATATTGCAGATGAGTGGAAACAGAGTGCAGAACCAAAACAATAGATCTATTGTTCTTTCCCAAATCTTTGACTTGATGGAAGCGATACACTAAACAGGATTATTTTACCACGCATAAATTGGTCAGTTCTTTGCTTTTGTATTTTTAAATAAGTTTCTAAACTTTGATCTCTGTACTACAGCAGCCACTCTCTAAACAGTCAGTAACTAGCTCCATCCTGAGGTCCCAGTACAGGGTCATATTATCAAGATTGGAGATGAGATTCTTGATTGAGATTTTATGTTCATATTTGAAAACAATTCATCCATTAGCAGGCAACAACTCAATCAAATACAACACTAGTTGTAGGATATCTATGATACATGGAGAGGGGGAGAACAAATCAGTCAAGCTTGTGAGAAAAACTATGGTCTTGAAATGTCCCACCTTGCACATCTAAAGTGAGACTACATTTGTTTAGAACTGGTGTAGTGGATTTCCTGAAAATATCTGCTCAAACTAACATGTTATTGGAGAACAAAATTTTGGTTGTTTACAAGTTGCTTTGCAATTAGAGCGAGACTTTTACTTGGAAATGAGTGAGATAAATAAAGCCCACAGATCCCAAAATGTTCTAATAATAATAAGCATCCTTGCATTTGATCTAGCGCCTTATCACATTGCTGTGAGGTCTCAAAGCGCTTCGCAGAATATATTGCGAAGTCCACAAAATGTATTGCGATACCCACAAAATGTTAGCAGCTGAACTGCAGAGGCATTCTTCTGCAGCGGTCCATTGGTGGCAATGAACCACATAGTGATAGGAGTCACAATTCCTCATGACAGATCCATAGAGCATATAGTTTGGGACATGACATGTGCATGCGACTGCCAGGATTGTGGAAGGTGAACTGGATGGACCTTGGTTCTTCTTTTGTCTAGCCATTCTCGTGTTCTTATGAGGGGTTCCATCTACCGAGGTGTCCAGGGAGGCAGGGAGCAGAGACGAAGTTCAAGCCAGGAGGTTGCTGAACCAACTAACCAAACTCATGCTATTCGCAGTCACCTCCCAACAACAAAAGCACCACTGTGAGTAGGAACGGCCTGACAGCAGGTTCTGTCTGCACACTAAGCTGGGAATTGGGGAGGATGGTACAAACTACTGGAGAGAAACGTAAAATACATTTCAAAACATTTTAAATGTGGGAATTGGATAAAAATAAAAGATTATAACAACGGGATCCAAGCAAATTGTTCTCGTGGAGGAATTAGAATGAATGGCCTCTTTTTGTGCTGTAATCTTTATATACGTCCAATTGGCTTTCAACTGCACCTAATGTTTCTAAAACAATATTGTTTTTGGAACAATTCTGGTTTAGGCCCAAAGCAGGTTCATATTAATTAATTATTTTCCATACCATTGGATCATCTTTCTTGTGATTCTGACTTGACTAAAATCTAAATTGTAAGATATGTTGACACCCCAATTACAAAATGCATGAGTTGTGCTAACCATGTGAAGACTAGGGATTTACAGGTGCCATGAAATACCTAATTAACAAATTTAGCAGATTATGGAAACATCTGGAATCGTTTTCATTAATTATGTAATTCAGGGCAGCAGAGGGTAATTTCCTCTGTACACATATATTTTCACATGGTTAGCTCAATTTGCAAGCTTTGCAATTGTGTTGTTAACCCGACTTGCAAAATTAGACCCTAGTGCCTGTATTTTGATACCCCAGGTTTTCTAGTTGGGTTGTTCTTGACCTGCATTTCTTTGCTGTTTCCAGAGACAAGTTTTTTAATTGCTGAGGTTTTCTGCGTCCTTCAACTGTTGACTGCTTGTAAACCTAGATCCTATTTGAGATCAGTCAGGTGTCAGCTTGGTTCAGCAGCTAGCACTCTCATATCTTTGTCAGAAGTTTATGGGTTCGAGTCCCATGTCGGGACTTTGAATTTATATAGTCTAGGTTGACGCTCTGATGCACTGATTGGATTTACAACAACGACAACAAGATTACATTTGTATAGCGCCTTTCACGTCGGGAGGACGTCGTATATTTACACTAATATTCCACCTGCCTGTTCAGGTTAAAGATCCCATGGCACTATTCAAAAAGAGAAGGGAGTTTCTCCTACGGTGCTGAAAAAGAATCTCCCAAATAAAATTGGTCACTCACTTCCTATTTATGGGACTCTGCTGTGTACAAATTGGCTACCTATAAATACACATTACTACACTTTTGAGTAAATATCATGAAGTGGTTTAAAATGTACTTCTGAAGAAAAGTGCCATATCTAATGTAAGAAATATTATTTTTCTATTCTTCAAGTCTTCAAGATTTCAGAGAGATTCTTGATGCTTTCTTCACACAGATGAATGTCATCTCAGTGAACCAGTGCCGAAATCACAGCTTGTGAGGAGAAACTAGAGGAGACAACTCTACAGGAATCACCTTGAGAGGAAAATGTTCTGTGGGAAGGAATGCAAACAAGTCAACCTGAGAGAATTCCATAAGTCATCTGGCAGTAGCAGACTGACAATGAGAAAATGGAATTGCCAGAGAGAGAGGAAAAAACCCTCTGCATTAAACAGTCTGGCACAAGTCAGATTTGAACATTTTCAAATGCAAGGGATCCTGCAGCCTTGGCAAAAAGGCTTGTTAAAATCTTTCTCCTGTTGTCTCCTCTCGTTGCTTTGCTTGTTTTTTGGTCAGCAGGGTGTCTGGCACACGCGGAAACCCATCACCATGATTAAGAGTATCCAAACCAAGCTGAGATTTCCATGCATTCCAACTGTACATGGAAATTCCAGAGATGGTTATTGGAATGGAATGCGCACTCTATCCCTGAAGGGATGCATCCTGCTTACCTAATTCCGCAAGGTATTAGGCACAGGTTGGCAAGAGCCAATGCTTGGGGACCTCAGAGTGTGCGCTGGGGTACTGCTGGAATCTAACCAGCTAAAACCATATAGCTTACCATCGAGGGCACTGCCTGACAAGCTTTCTCGCTGTTATCCAGCAAGGATCACTCTACCCGTTAGGGCTTTGGCTTACAGGGTTAGTGGAAGCTGAGTGGGAGTTTCTGCCTCCATTACTGGTCTGCCCTTCTTGGTCCAGCTGATGAGCCAGCCTGACTCTGCCGTCACAGAACCAAACAACCTGTGCTTATAGAATGCCTTTCTTTTGATTTTGTTTTGAAGTGATTCATAAAGACTTGAAGTCAATTCACTGGGGAATAGGGAGCCAGTGGGGTCTGGAGAGTATGAGTGTGATAGGTTACCGGGAAAAGATATGGGCTAGAGTTTGAGGAAGGTCAAGCTTGGAAGCCCAGAGACTATTTATTGGAGAAATTGTTTAACAGGCGGCAACGGTGTGAAGAACAGTTTTGCGTTGGAGGTGAGTAAGCAAGGATGCGGGAGAAATTGCAGAAGTAGAGGAAAGCAGACATGAAAGGCTTAAAAGAGGATGGGCATCAAGCATACTCATTTTTAACAGGAGCTCATTTCAAAATCAACACAGTCGTTTACTGAACCTCAACAATGTTTTTATAGCTGTATTTATCCAACCTGTAAGCTCTGCGCTCATTACAATTGCTTGCTTTCATCAACCATACAATCACACCCAAAATGGCCACAATTCCCTGCCTGGTCTCCGAGCCCCTCTTACACAACACCAAGTCTTATATAAAATAATGTTAATGGATGTTGATGTCATAACCTAAAGGCCAATTGCTAAATACTATTCTGCAACTGCTCCAGGCAGTGATAATGAAAGCAGATGTAAGCTGTCCCTTTTTCTTTCCCCCGCTGAAATAATTGGTGTTTTTTTTTGAAAAAATCTTATATTTATAACATGTTAATTACACGCCTAAAACTTGCTAAATCTTAAGAGAATCGTCTGAAGTTTCTAATTGGAGCTGCCCAGAAGCTCACCGATTCCTGCCCACAGCTGCTGATCAAACACAGTCATGTACTGTGGTCTACCGGATTTCATAGAAATTCACACATTTGCTAATTCTGCAGTTTAAAAGGTCATCAATTACTCGCTTTCTTAATGCATAAATACTGCAACCATATTTCAGATACAAGTCGAATGAACACTGCATTCAGGTGAAGTATAGATTGTTACTGAGGTTGACTGCCTGAGACTCATCACCAACATTTCTAGGCTCAAAGATGAATGTGTCTGTCAAATAATAAGAATCATTGCATTTGATATATCAGAAAGGGTGCACAAATACTGCACATAGTAACTACACTTCACAGTAAAATTCTGTGAAGCGCTTTGATACATCTCCTTCATAATAATCCTTCACAGGATTTACTATAAAGTGTTGTGTCTGTGTATTTCATAGACAAACATATTAGTCATCCAGCTGCATACAAGGCAGTTTGGATTATACAACCAAAACAACAGTAGAAGAGGTTGAGAGTTGCATCTGAATATCAGTCAAATTTGCTTCTAAACTTTTTTCCAGTACCACTAGCCCTGAGAGCTCTGATACCAATTGTAGTTCACCAAGTCCTGGTGAGATCAGACTACTCTTCACAGACTTGCAAACTTCCAGTCCGTATGGCCTAGCATTACATTAAGAGATGTCTTCACTCATTTAGGTCATGATGGGAAACCAAACTCTGCATGTTTTTAATACCAAGAAAATTAAGAACTCAGTTTATGGAAGAGGAGAGCTCAACTCATTAACTCTTATGAATACGTTATCAATTCAATGAGCGTCTCAGGGATAAGACAAAAAAGCTCTATTTTC